GGGAACGGTATACCCACGCCACCATGCTGAGGGGAGTGCATGCCAAATCACAGGCGAGCACTAAGTACCAACTCTACCAAAGTTTTAAGGGAGTTGCCCCTGGGACGTTAGACGGCTGTCATTATCCCCTATGGCCAAAGGCCTAAGCTACATACCCCAAAAAATTTACCTGTTAGGGCCAGGACTCCTGGGCCCAGGGTAGAGCTCAAAGGCTTGGAATCAGGAAGAGATTCCTTTAAGGGGATACGACCAAGTGCCTAGAATTGTACTAGTCTGTCTAACGGTCTAAACAGACCCCTAGTAGCAACACCCTGTTAAAGTAGGTATCCTGAGGTTACATAGGTAGAGTGGTGCCCAAGGTGGAACCGGGGCCTAACCGACTCAAAGAAAGGGCACGAAGCCACCACGCATAGCCCCTACTAGGGATGTTCATTTCGGTTATTTTTCCTAACCGACAACCAACGCTTGTTAACCGACAAGATTATTTTAAATTAGAATTGAATTAAATTAGAAAGGATAAATGTCTGTGACCCGTTAAAAAAAAAACTGCCAGCAAAGAAAAATATCATAAAGCTAGGCTATAAATAAATAGGCCTATACAAGAAACATTTTTACTTAATAAATTAAGAAAATGAAAGAAAAACTGTGCAACAATGCAGAGTTTTGGTTCATTTTTGTGCTGCGTGAAAGGAAAAACGACAGAAAGCGGCATCCTATTTTTCTTTAGGCTTATTTTACAAAAGCACAAAGATTTGTTTTTATTGTGAATGTACACAAATAAAGGCAAACCTTTTACAATTCAGATTATATTTAGGACTAAAAGGAGTAGTTGCTTCCACTGTTAGAAGAAAAAAAAACTCAAGTGATTGCGCTGGTGCCGCATGCGCACACACAGTTAAGCATTGCTACCTTGACAATGCAGCCTGTTCATTATCATAATAAAATACAGTCAGTCAAACTACTGAAAATAGTAAAAAAAATGTAGTAAAATCTGTGCCGTTAAGTGTTATCACCACATCGCTGTGATGTTATGCAAAACATTTTGTTTTACGTGGATATTGGAATGCGAGTGAAGCCTAGGCTACATAATAAATAATCATTTGCCATTCAAATACATCACGAATAGGAAAACATTTGATTTTGTGTGGAATGAGAGACCCAACGTTGGTTTCAGTTTCGTTTTAGCCTAAATGAATTCGTTTTGGCTTGTTTATATTGCTATAGCTTCTTATATTTTTAATTCTTGTTCTTTTCTAAATACTGTTAATTGAAAGGATTTGTTGTAAAATAGCCTACCTATGTTTACAGTGTTTATTATAATGTTTGTAAACATTTCGCCTCGGCATTAGGCCTATTTCTGAATGACACATTAAAATGTGACTTATACGCGACTTGTTTTTACCCCCTAAAAAACTATTTTTTTTATACGCGTAGCGTATTTTAACCATGCAGCAAACCTTTTTAAATATTTGGATAAATTACTGAAAAAATAAATAATTAAATTACTTTTTAAACTGTTTAACTGATTGTATTAATCGGTCAAAATTCTTACGGTCGGTTAAACGGTTAAAATGAACATCCCTAGCCCCTACCATAGAGGATTTTAGAAAGAATGTAAAATGCTTGATGTGCGAACTTACCACAGCATGGATTCTAGAAAGTGCACAGGGACTTCGCGTGCGCACTTACCATATCATGGATTTTAAAGATACCGTTCTAAGGGGCCCTCGTGGCACTCTGAAAGAGCAGTCCATAGATGGAAATGGTGCATCCCAAGAACAATACGTCTGAGAAGTCACCAACTCATCCTCATGGAACAATGCTGGAATGGCTAGCAGTAAGTTACCTAGCTGAGGGAGCATAACACCCAGCTCTCAGCTGAGAGGGGGCTCGACCTACAGCATGTTCGTTAGAAATCCTGAAGGGTAAGCATTCTGCAAGCTTAACCAAAAACTCAGCGCATCAGGAAGGCAGAGGAAGGGCCTAGTTCGCATGATGTTGCCGGTTCCAGGTGCTCTGGGAAAACAGAGAACTCAACTCTCCACGTGAGAGGAGAACTCCGAATTCAGAAAATGAGTAGCGTGCTCATAGGCAACCCTCTGATAGAGGGGAGCACTGCTAAACATCACCATGAGAACAGCCCACGGAGCAGGGAATTCAACTCCTCAGAAGGGGAGAGAACTCGAACGCTCTGAAGAAAGTGCCATGCTCATAAATAACCCTCTACAGTGAGGGGAGCGATGCTTTAAAAATTTATCAACAGAGACACACTAGGTGAGTGGAGCCCAAGACGAGTACCGGTGCCTAAGCCAACCATTTAGAGAAAGGGAACAAGGTTGACAACGAGTAACCCTTACCATACAGGATTTTAGAAAGTGTACTTCTTAGCTCGACCAGAAGGGGTTAGAAGGGGTAACCCAGCAGGGCCCAATAAAAGACAGTCCACTGGTGCAGCTGGACACGGTCTCATGCTCTCTATCTCGATAGTGTGGGTCCCGTATAACCAGACCCGATAGAATCTGAAGAAATAGCGGGACCCAATAACCATTCATGCGTATAGAGCTTTCTGCTCCTCAGAGCAGAAGCACAAAGGAGGGGTTCCCACAAAAACACAAATCCCTCTTACCTCAGGGAAAGCAGTGTACTCCAGCCCACTCCACAGAGGGGTGATTATTGGTTCAACCATAAGGGCAGTGTGACAGTGAGGACCCACGGGCCCGACTGTCTATGGAGCATTGAGCTCCTCAACGCGTCAGCGAGAGGAGCTCTAACTCAGAGAGCGTACATGAAGTTTAAGGAACGATTCAAATCTTGGGAGACCTCTCAGGGTGAGAAATGCGTAGTTCACACCTGGCCAGAGGATAGGGAGCATGTCACGATACATGTACCCAGAAGAGTACTAGCCCACAAGAAGGACCCACAGGTTCTGAGGTTGCAGCGTTATTCTGGGGACCTGATGCTGGGAGACTTCCTCAGAAGCCCAGGCTGCGTGTCCAAGCCGAAGATGAGGGCTATCACCAGCCTGGAACCAGAACCGATGAGTGAAACCATCACTGTAATCGGTCAACACCAGGAGGTCCTGACTTAGCAGGTGGGTCAAACCTAAAGTCAGAAAAACAGAACAGGTCAGAGTAGCACTGCAGAGAAAGGTTAGCATCAAACACACAAGAACTAGCAGTAGAGAAGATAAAAATGGATCGTACTCACCATGGCTCCCGCGCATGACTCAGGCTCATGATATAGGCTGGAGGCGATGTCCGAAGCCTGGATCCTCATGGAATGAAGGATATAAAGGCAGCCGAGCCAAAATCTACAATGGAGAGAGTCCTTTCTTATGTTTCCAGTGTGGAAAGGGTTTCACGCAGAAAGGAAGCCTTAAGAGACACCAGAGAATCCACAGCGGAGAGAAACCCTTCTCCTGCCTTCAGTGTGGGAAGATTTTCACATGCAAAGAAAGCCTGAGCGTGCACAAGAGGATCCACACCACATGCATGAGACTGCATACTGGAAAGAAACCGTATCTCTGCGCTTCATGTTGGAGGAGTTTTACTCATTCAAGTGGCCTAAAGACTCATAGAATAAAACATTGTTCGGAGGTGTGGCAGTGAGCAAAATGCATGTAATTAGAACATTTCTTCCAAAATGGATCATTTGTTAAATTTAACTACCTGTTGTGGTTAACAGCTGTCAGTTTATGCAAGAGGTAGTAGAAAAGAAAAATACAGATTGTCTATTGATTATATATGCTGATATTTGTCAACTCTGAAGTGGCTCAAACGAGAAATTATTTTGGCTAATCAACCATTTTAGCAGCATAGAGTCTGTTTAATGCGCGAACTACAGCATTATAGTTAAAAATGGAGCCCAACTAAATTAACCTTTCATTAAGCCCTGTTTGTTCTTGTCTATGAATATCCTGTGTTTGGATCATTTTTACATATAATTTACAGAAATAAAGTAAACTTTTGTTGTCCCATGACCTGCAGGGTTTGTGCTGTCATGATAAAACAAAATTTACTAAAATATCAGTTTTATTATTGTGATTTCGAAGCCTGGAAAAGTTATAGAACCTGTTCACAAAATGATCCAAATGATTATGAATCAAAAAGGTTTAAAAATATCCAGTAAGCACAGATGACTAGACAGGTCATGCAAAAGTTCATTTCTTTAAAAATAGAGGGAACGCTTACAATAGTGACACAATTAGTTTTTTTCCCCCAAACCATTAAATAAATCTTGAGAAGTTCATGCTGTGGTTTCTGTTAATCATTATTGATTTGTTTTACATATTGAATCTGGTTATTGTAGAGGCAACCGAAACAAAGAGTTCATAGTACCACAGTAAATTCATTGTAGAAACATTAGCTACTACACCATTATGAAATAAATCAAATGTATCGGCGCAAAAATTGCTTCATGAATTGAGTAAAGATATAGAGGGAATTTCCGCAATTAAATTTGTTATTAGCTCAATGAATATGACTAAATTACCATTTTCAGAACAAAACAAAAAAAACTACTATTAATAGGTTAGCAGAACATTTTTGTAGAGCTCAACTCTTGATCACAAAAAACTCCAGACTTGAACATTTGACCGTTTCCAAATAACAAACATGCATCTTGTGTGAAAAATCATTTCTCTCGTGTTTGAACTACATGGCTGTTCTATCCATGTGTTCTATCAATGATCACTCATTTGTGTGGCTTCTGAGACTCTCAAACTCCCATGATATACTTCCATTCAGGAGCAGTAACATTTACTCATGTGGACTCAAGACCATATTTTTAAGTCAAGTAAAAAAAAAAAAGAAAAGAAAAAAGATTCAAGGAGTTCAAGGTAAGATATAGGCTAGCTAAACATTTAATATAATCTAGTGACAAACTATTTGACTTTTTGTCAATTGAAACTTTCAAAACAACACAATACTTTTACATTAGAAACAGATCCAAAGTCAGATTTTCTGCTATTGGATTGAAAATAGAGAAAAATAGCTTTTCACAAAAATCACAACTTTATTGCACCAGTATATCTACATTTATGTATTTGCAATACTGAATGACTTCTTGTTTTCAGAAAAGGCATTATGTACAGAACTATCAATTCAAATATGACAAAGACACTCGTGTGTTCTTTAGCTTCAAATGACTTTCTAAGAGAATACAGACACATCCTACAGAGCGCATAGTGTCTGGGTCCTGAACAAGACCTCAGAGCAGTCTTCCAGACACGCATCTATTGGTTAATAAAATTTCCCATTTACAATTCCACAAACCTTAAATACATTAGGCTTCCATTTAGCAATGTGCATTTTAACATGTTTTAATAAGTATAATTTGCAACATGTTCTATTCATTTTTAAAAATTAAACCAAGGCAACTTTTCTAAAACCCAAGGATTCATGAAAGGATGGTGTGTAACAACAAGAATGACTGGAGGATGGCACAGAGAGCACAAGGTAGACTGTACAATGTCCTAAATAGGAAGGCTTCAACATTGGTTTACTCCTATGACGGCTCTTGAGTGGATAAGCATGTACATCATTCTGCCCCAATGTATAATAGCACTGCTAATGGACAGGGTGTTTACAGCTCACACAGATGACATTTGGACCAGCTTTTGTTGAGTTTTACCCTGGAATGACCCCTTCGCAGGGCATCCGAAGGATTGCTGTAGTTGCATAGAGAGTAGGAAAGAGATACAGGATGAGACGCGCTAAATCAAAGACAAAGGGATACTCCAATTATTAAATAATTCAGCCCTCCTGGCAGAAACACAGTGGTTTGTGTTAAGGCCCATGTTTTAGCTCACATGGATGAAATGTATTGCATTGTTGTATGCAGCCCTGTGCATAAAAGACCACGTCGTCTGACTGGAAATGGTGGCGTTTTGGGAAATCCGAGGAGAAATCTTATAGAAACTGTGGAAATTGTCACAAGAGGCTAATTTCCCTTTAAAATATGGCAAAATCAAAGACCGCAAAGGGGAGTTGAGTTGGAGGAGGAGGATGGGCTAGTATTTAAGCAGGCAAGACATGAAAGCATACAATCACAAGAAAGAAATGTATTGCAATGCAAGACAGCAGGGCAACACTACTTCCTCCAACAGATGATCCATTCAGGCAAATAACTGCCTAATAATATCTGGACCAAATATGAAAAAGCTAAATAATTTAGTGAACAAAAGTTGCATAAAGGGAACAATGATATTTGTTGAGTCATTGGAGGGAGGGGCTACATGTTCCCGTTTTTAGAAAGTTTGAGGGTTTTCTTCTCAATAAAAGACAATAGTTTTCATCGCCGGCCATCACAGCCTGAATGCTCGCCATCTTGTGTAGTCCTGCCTAAATAAAACCGGCCCGGGTAAACATTTGTTCGTATTACAATAAGAATAATTCAGATCATTAAAGGTTAACAGGGTGCAAACTCTCCAGTTTGTCGTCTTTCCTATGATCCAAAGATCATATTGGCACCGTTAGTGGTGTGTGTTTTGGATTTCAGACGTTGACTAAAGCCTCAGGAGATGACCTCAGCCTCATGGCTTGATTTCACAGTACTGCTGCGCTCTTGTGTTCTTCAGAAGAACCTCAGACAGATCCGACTGCTGCTGATCCAATAAGGCAACTGGTCTGGTCAGGGCACACGACTGAGATCAAGCAAGACAGTAAAACCGCTGGTTATAAACATCATCCAAGTTTGAATATATTTATTAAAATAATAATAAAACAAAAAGCTTTCAAGCTGATGGATACGGTTCTTCACAAAACAGAATTGTAAAGGAAAAAGATACTTCATGTTCACTTATTTGTAATAATTTTCACATTCGAACAGCAGCATGTGAACGGAATTTTAAAATGCAAACATTGCTACTGTATCACAAACTATTTAATAACTGCGATAGGACATTTGCTCAAGAGTCATTTAATAAAGACGTTTTAATTATAAACCATCTTAACTAGGGGTGGAACGGTTCAACTTACTCACGGTTCGGCTTGTATCACGGTTTTAGAGTCACGTTTCGCTATGTGCTATGTTTAGGCAAAATCTATACTGTCAAATAAAAATCAAGAAAATAAGAAGAATCTATCTTACTACAAGCAACAGCACAAATAAATACAACAGAGTAAAGATATAAATAAAATAAAGAGTGATTTTCAGTTTAGGTAGGTCTACCTTTTTTTTTTTTTTTAGGTAGGTCTAACATTAGTTTTTAGGTACATAAATTTAATAATGTAATGAAATGTAAAACAGCATTGCATTTTTGACTGTATAAATTAAACATGAATCTTTATTAAAGTTACAAAAGCTATTCAATCAAGAGCAGTGAGTGATTTCTTTGTTGTTGCCTTTCAATTAATATTAAGAAAGTGCTGTCACTTTAAGAGAATGCACTGATCCAGTACGTTCAGCCGGCTATGTCTGCTATAGGATACTTACCAAGACGGGCATTTTGACAATTTTTGTGTGAATTTGTCCATTTAAACAATACTTCAGAGAGAGAGCTTAATATTTGCGTGCGTTCCAAGGCACGGGTTTGCCCGATTCGGACGCACAAATCTTCTCACTGCGAGCGCGCGTTCACGTCCTCTGGCTCTTAAATGTTTAAAGCTTAAATGAGTTTAGCTTAAACACAGATATCAACACGCTATCAGCACCCGGTTGATGACGGAATAAATGCTCATATTCCAGCATACGGCATTCGCATTGAACAAGAGTGAATGGTTTGTCCACGTTTTTAATTT